TTAAAGGGAAATCCCTATTCCCCAAGGTTGCTATAAATAAGAACATACGTAAAGTATGTATAGTAGCCACTACACAGTCCAATGAATACCAATTATTCTTTTCTCCCCGGGATTACAACTCCCAAAGTGTCTGCAGGGAATATGATGCACTCTGGTCACCCATGTCACTATGCCTAAAAAGGTGATTTCCCTGAAAGAAAACATGTGTCGAGAAGGACGAGTACTGTAGGGGCATAAACATGGGTGGGTATCTGAACCCTAAGAATCACATGAAACTCACTCAAACTGATAAGATCAGTCAGTCATTCATCCACCAATCTGTTAGTCTATCCAATCACTGATTCAAATCCCAAGTATTTATTAAGTATCAACCACTGGGTATACATTAGTATATAAAATAGATATGGTTCCTGTAGTAGGCTCCAAAAATGGACCCCAAAGAACCATACTTCTTAGTATTCTTGTCCTTGTATGGTCTCCACCCACACTGAATCTAGACCAGTCTGTTCTTGCTTTAACCAAGAGAATGTGGCAAGCTGTGCCGGTTCTGGCCCTAGCCTTTAAAAGAACTGACCACTTCCATTCTTCCCTTTTGGAACTGTCACTTTGGGAAGCCTTAAGCTGCTAAGTAAAAAGTCTGGCTAGTTGGCTGGAAAGGGCACATGGAGAGAGGAGTCCCTGAGACTACAGGAAGAGGGAGAGACCTAGCTGTCCCAACTGAGCCTCCAGGTGACTCTAGAGAGACCACAGGCAAGACCAACAGAACTTCCCATCTGAGCCCAGTCTACCCAAAAAAACAATGGAAGGTAATAAAATTGTTATTTTAAGTCACTAAGTTTTGTTGTGTGGTTTGCTATACATCAACAAATGAATGAAATAGTTTCTGATCTTGTAGAACTTTCAAGCTAGTCAAAATAGCAGCATTAGAACTAAGTCCATGAAATTAATTATAAGCCTGAAGTAATCACATCTGTACTCAAAGGAACCTTGGCTACCAAAACAAAACACCAAACAAGACATCTGGAAACAGATCTTAAACAAAACTCACTACAAACCTGCTCAGTGTCCAAAGCACAAAGTCCTGGTATTGGTCAGAAATGTCAATGTCAATTTGGAAAGACTTGCTACTCTCCTCCTTATCCCAGTCAGGCTCTATCTTTCTGAAACACACTTCTGCCCTGGATGGCTCCTTCTTAATGTAGAAGGTGGCCCTAGAATTTGGGAAATTAAGGCTATTTATGCTCCCTCCTTTATCATGAGGCAGGACCTGTCTCTTTTGCACAAATCACTGTAAGAGAGTGCAAGAAAGGGGCGCCTGGGTGACTCAGTCAGAAGCAGTCTGACTCTTAGCTCATCTCAGGTCTTAACCTCAGGGTCATGAGTTTAAGCCCTGCGCTGGGCTCAACACTAGGTGTGGAGCCTACTTAAAAAAAAAAAAAAAGAAAGAAAGAAAGAGTGCAGGAAAAATGAAGATAATATCCCATTCTCTTGCTATGAGCCAAATTACTTTCTGTATTATTGAACTTTCTAACACAGAACTTCACTGTGTCCACTGCAAGTGACTAATGGAAGTAACTAGCACCAGCTTTATCTCAATAACCATTCCCTATCCACCCTTCATAGGCACCTCACTTTTTTATGAACTTGGTTTATTCCAATTTTATATGAAGAGATTTCACAGATACCCCATAAAGCCTGAAGCCTCAAAAATAATACCGACCAAAAAAAAAAAATCTGCAGGCAATATGCCATGGCAAAATGTTTTTGTTTTGTATTTTTTTTTTTTTTTAAGATTTTATTTATTTGTCAGAGATAGAGACGGAGAACAAGCAGGAGGGAAGCAGTGGGCAGGGGAGAAGCAGCCTCCACTGCTCATGATCTGAGCCGTGAAGGCAGACGCTTAACCAACCGAGCCACCCAGGTGCCTGTTTTGTTTTGTATTTTGAGCAGAGTAATAGGACAAAGGGAAAAAAGAGCAGGCATTTCTTGAGCATCTAAATTTGCAAAAGTAACTGGTGCTTTACTCATTTAACCCTCACATAATTTTCCAATTGATAAAACGGACGTTCAGAAAGGCTATTTAACTGCCCAAGGTCACAAAACAGAGCCAGAAATTGAATCCAGTGATGCTCAACTCCGTATCTTTCTATTAGTACATGTTATAATTAGAGAGAAGGAGACTGTGAGAGTTAAAGCAACGTTGCATCATATGGGACAAGAGCAAAAGGAAAAATAAAAGCTGATGAATAATGCAAAGGATCTTAGTACACTACAGAGATTTGGGGGAATGGTGGTAATGGTGTTAAAAGAGTTCCTAGGTGGCCTAAAATAGTGTTCTCTAACTTAATGTGTATCAAAACCACCTGGAGAGCTTGATAAAATGCAAATAACATGGCCTCCCACCCCAAGTTTCTGATTCAGTAAATCTGGGGTGAGCCCAGGAACTTGTATTTCTAACAAGTTCCCAGAAGATGTTAATGTTCCTGGTCTAGGGACCACACTTTAAGAACCACCAGCCAAAGAGCACACAATAAACACATTCTGATATAACTACCCCAACTCTCTGACTTTATCATATCCAAAACAGTACCATCTAACATCACTGCCAAATTTAGTGGCTCTATGAAGGACTAAAAAGTCAGCAACTCTGTTAGGATGAATATTACAATGCTCCTTTGCCTTCAAGGAGCTAAAAGAAAATGATCAGCCCAGCTTCTGCCTTAGTTCTTTCTGAGAACTTGTAACAGACCAGTATGAAAAGGAATCAGAAAAGCATACTGAGAAGATTGCTGGACTTCTGAGAAGACACTAGATTGGAGAAATTTAAAGAAAAAAAAGTTCCTTCTCGTTTTAATTTTAAAAGGACTACATTTGCTGAAAAGGAAATTAAGAAAATGGTCCTATTTACAACAGCATCAAAAAGAATAAAATACTCATAAATTAACCAAAAAAGTGAAAGACTTGCACACTGAAACTATAAAACACTGCTGAAAGAAAGTAAAGAAAGCACAAATAAATGGCAGGACATTCCGGGTTCAGGGATCAGAAGACTTAATATTGTTAAAATGTCCATATTACCCAAAGCAGTCTACAGATTCAATGCAATCTCTACCAAAATTCCACTGGCATTTTTTACAGGAAGAGAAAAAAACACCCAAAATTCATATGGAATCTCAAAGGACAAGAGCCAAAACAATCTTTTTTTTTTTTAAGTTTTTATTCAAAGTCCAGTTAGTTAACTATATAGTGTAATAACCAAAACAATCTTGAGAAAGCAAAACAAAGCTAGAGACCTGACACTACCTTATATCAAAATATATTGCAAAGCTACAGTAATCAAAACACTATGGTACTGGTATAAAGGCAGGGACACAGAACAGAATAGAGAGCCCAGATATAAACCCCTGTGTATATGGTCAAATGATCTTTGACAAAGGTGTCAAGACTCCATAGATAATGGTGGGGCGCATGGCTGGCTCAGTCAGTAGAACATGTGACTCTTGATCTCGGGGTCATGAGTTCAAGCCCCATGTAGGGCATGGAGCCTATTTAAAAAAAAAAAAAAAAAGACCCCCAGATAATGGAGAATTAATAGTTTCTCCAACAAATAGCACTAGGAAAACTGGCTATCCACATGCAAAAGAATGAAGATGGGTCCTTACCTTACACCATACATAAAAATTAACTCAAAATGGATTAAAGATCTAAATGTAAGGGTGCCTGGGTGGCTCAGTCAGTTAAGTATCTGCCCTTGGCTCACGTCATGATCCCAGGGTCTTGGGATCAAGTCCTGTGTCAGCTCCCTGCTCAGGGGGAATCTGCTTCTTCCTCTACCCCTCCCCTCTGCTTGTGCTCTCTCGCTCTCTCAAATAAATAAAATCTTAAAAAAAAAAAAAAAAAAAGACCTAAATGTAAGACCTGAAACTATAAAAACTCTTAGAAGAAAACACAGGGGGAAAAACAAACAAAAAGAAAAAAAAAAAATAGGGGAAAAGCTTTATGACACTACAAGGAACTATGATTTCTTAGATATGATACCAAAAGCAAAGGCAACAAAAACAAAGACAAATGGGGCTGTGTAAAACTTAAAAAAACTTATGCACAGCAAAAGAAACAATCAAAAGAGTAAAAAGGGAATCTACTGAATAGAAGAAAATATTTGCAAACTACCAGATAAGGGGTTAACATCCAGAATATATCAAGAACTCCTACAATTTAACAAAAAAAAAAACACCATGGGCGCCTGGGTGGCTCAGTCGTTAAGCGTCTGCCTTCGGCTCAGGTCATGGTCCCAGGGTCCTGGGATCGAGCTCGGCATCGGGCTCCCTGCTCCGCGGGAAGCCTGCTTCTCCCTCTCCTACTCCCCCTGCTTGTGTTCCTGCTCTCACTGTGTTTCTCTCTGTCAAATAAATAAATAAAATCTTTAAAAAAAAAAAAAACACCAAAAACCAAATAACCCAATTAAAAAGTGGGCAAAGGACTTAAACAGACATTTATCCAAAGAAGATATGCAAATGGGGGTGCCTGGGTGGCTTAGTCAGTTGAGTATCTGACTCTTTATTTCGGCTCAAGTAATGATCTCAAGCCCGCATTGGACTCCATACTCAGCAGGGAGTCTACCTGGGATTCTCTTTCCCTTTCCCTTTATCCCTCCTTTTCCCCCCCACATGCATGCATGCTTTCTGTCACTAAAATAAATAAATCTTAAAAAAGGATCTACAGGGCACCTGGGTGACTCAGTCGGTTAAGCATCTGCCTTTAGCTCAGGTTATGATCCCAGGGTCCTGGGATGGAGTCCCACATCAGGCTCCCTGCTCAGCAGGGAGTCTGCTTCTCCCTCTGCCTCTGCCCCTCCCCCGTGTGTGCGCTCTCTCATTCTCTCTCTCTCACTCTCAAATAAAAATCTTTAAAAAAAAATCTACAAATGGACAAGCATATGAAAAGATCCTTAACATCACTCATCATCAGGAAATGCAAATCAAAGCACAAGACATACCCACCTCATGCCCATTAGGATGGGCACTGCCAAAAAAAACAGGAAATCACAATGTTGGTGAGGATGTAGAGAAATTGGAACACTGGCACATTGCTGGTGGGATTGTAAAATGATGCAGCCACTGTGAAAAACAGTATAGAAGCGTCTCAAAAAATCAAAAATAGAACTACCATATGATCCAGCAATCTTCCTTCTGAGTATATATGCAAAAGAACTGAAAACAAGATCTGAAAGAGATATTTGTCCTCCCATGTTCACTGCAGAATTACTCACAATAGACAAGATGTGGAAGTAACCTAAATGTCCATCGACAGATGAATGGGTAAAGAAAATGTATATACAGTGGAATATTATTCAGCCTTTAAAAAGAAGGAAATCCCGGCACCTGGGTGGCTCAGTCATTGGGCATCTGCCTTCGGCTCAGATCATGACGTCAGAGTCCTGGGATCGAGTCCCACATCGGGCTCCCTGCTCAGCAGGAAGCCTGCTTCTCCCTCTCCCACTCCTCCTGCTTGTGTTCCCTCTCTTGCTGTGTCTCTGTCAAATAAATAAAATCTTAAAAAAAAAAGGGGGGGGGGAGGAAATCCTGTCGCACGCTACAACATGGATGAACCCTGAGGACATTATACTAAGTGAAATAAGCCAATTACAAAAAGACAAATACTGCATGAGACTCCTCTTAAATGAGGCTTCTAAAGTAATCAAACTTACAGAAAAAGAAAACAGAATGGCAGTTGCCAGGGATGGGGGGTAGGGAGAATGAAAAATTGTTCAAGGAGTATAGTGTTCCACTCATGCAAAAAGAAAAGTTCCAGACATCTGTTGTCCAACTCTATGTATATATACTTAACCATACTGTACATTTAAAAATTAAGAGGGTAAACTGACGTGTTTTTTATCACAAAAAGACCAAAAAAAGGGGGAGGTCACATTTGCCAGCAGAACAAAGAAAGGATAAAAGCCACCTTGCTGAGGTGAAGTGATCCAAGGAGACAGCAGGAAGAGAGGAAAACTGAGAAATGTATGGGAACATGTGTAGGGGAGGAAAAAAGTAAGAGAGGTAAAAAGATTCACACTCATACCCTCTGATGCAGCAAAGGAAAAGGGCACAATGTTAACAAACTGTGACTCTCTTTTTATGACAAGGTCATGCTTTCAGCCTTTGATTCCTTTATTATTACAATTTTCTGCTCTAACTCCTGCTCTAACTTGATTTTAATTTCCTGGCAGGTGGCACCCAAGCAGCCTTTTCACTGGAACCCACCCCTCTCCCCAAAGTGCTCTGCTCACAGGGAGAGGTGAGGGCATTCTTCTCCAAGATTTCACACAGTCCATCTTCAAAGGAAGGTTACCTTCATACTGCATAACTTGACATAACAGAAAGCTGCTCACTGAAGTCTGACCCAGCCAGCAAATAAGCCTGGCATCCCCACTTTCCCTCTCTGGAAACAGAGGAGGAGTTTATTAATTGTTGCTATAAAAAAGTCAGGCAGCTTCTCAGGTGAGGGGGCTGTCAGGACATCAGCTAACAGCCAGCAGGGGACCCCTTGCGGGTGAATTAGGCAGGAGGGGTTGGGTAGAGGAGAGGATAGTGCAATGCCCAGTGCCTCCCCCAGGTGAAGCTGAGTGGTAGGGCACTTGCCCAGCTGGGCAGTTGGCTGGCTCAGTCGACAGAGGATGAGACCCTTAATCTCAGGGTTGTGAATTCAAGCCCCATGTTGGGCATGGAGCCTACTTTTAAAAAAGGGGGTGGGGGTGCCTGGGTGGCTCAGTCAATTAAGCCTCTGCTTTTGGCTCAGGTCATGATCTCAGGACCCTGGGATGGAGCCCCACATCGGGCTCCCTGCTCCACAGGAAGCCTGCTTCTCCCTCTCCCACTCCCCCTGCTTGTGTTCCCTCTCTCGCTGTGTCTCTCTCTGTCAAATAAATAAATAAAAGCTTAAAAAAAAAAAAAAAACACTTGCTTACACAAAACCATCAACATTTTGCTTGAGCTAATGCAGAGGTAACCAACACGAAATTGGATTAAGAAACATAAATAAAAGCCCAGTACAGATTAAGGCACAAAGAAACTTCCATGCTCTGACTAAAGGGGCAATAACTACTCAACTCCTACTGTTAGTTATTATGTAGGAATACAAGCCAGATCTTCTAATTTTTTTTCCCAATAGAATCCAGAAATCTGCACTTAACGTCAAAAAAAACCTGAAATTTTTAGAAACACTGTAAGGGCAAATAAACATACCTGAAGGTTATTTTGCAATCTCTGGATTAATGTTACAGGCCCACACACTAAAGCCAAATCTGCTCACACAAATACGTTGTCTGGGGTGCTCCCAAAAGGAGAACTAAGATGCACTGGATCCTCCTGTCCCCATAAATATATAAGAAATCTAAGAGGAGGAGGAGAAGCTACCTGCATAGCTCTAATGAGCTGGGACCGATTACAATTAGCAAAATATATTATGCAAACAGAACCCCATACACCTGGTGTTATTGTCTTAGCAAAACCTCCAACGCACCCTTTAGAGCACTACTGTGAACAGATACGGTACAGAAGGGGATCTGAAGGGGGAAGAATGAGTACTCAGGGAAATTGCTCCCAGTGTATCTGCAGCAACACATAGAATCCCACTGTAGTCCCTGTAACACTCCAACACTCAGAACTGACAGAAGCGATTACATCTTTTCAAGTTCACAGTGTGTATACAAAGCACACAGCCAGCTCTACACCATCCAGCCCCAGAGGGAGGGATGATGGGGGATAATTTAGATCAGTCTTAACAGGTGCTAATTTGACCTGCAGTGGGAGAAGGACTGCTTGTCAAGCATACTGCCTGCAAGGCCTGGAGGCTCACACCCTCCCCCACACCAGGGCAAGCCTTCTCACTTGCAAACAATTCCCAAGACAGATACAAAGCAAGGCTGGAAAACCTTGCTTCAGGGCAGATAGGAGAGGAAACCAGAAACTCTTTATGCACTTACGCCTGCTCTTAACCAGCAAAGAATCTTGTAAGAGCCAATACTTACGACATCTAGTCCAAAGCAGAGAGAGAGAACCAGTGCAGGAGTCCCCTACCTACCTCTTCAGAGCCTTCATGATCATAATGCCTTCTATTACGATAGCACCTGACTCTCTTCCAAATCACGTATACATAAAGCAGGGACTGGCAAACCACGGCCTGTCGGCCAAATCTGGCCTGCCGCCGATTTTTGTACAGCCCATGAGCTAAAAATGGTATATTTTTAAATAGCTGAAAAACATCAAAAGACTCTTTCATGACACGTGAAAAGTACATGAAAATCACATTTGTGTCTATAAATAAAATTTTATTGGAACAGAGCCACACTCATTCACTTATATGTAGTCTCTGGCTGCTTTCATGCTACAATGGCAGAGTTCAATATTTGCATCAGAGACCGTATGGCCTACAAAAGCCTGAAATATTCACTACCTTGCCCTACACAGAAAAAGTCTGCCAACCTTTGATATAGAAGATATAACCAGGGATGATGCTCAGAATTCAAAGAGGCTCAAATATAGAGTGACCTCATTGGGCACGTGAGCAGTGAAGATGAAAAAGATTAACACTGGTACCTCTCTTCCACGCTACCCTCACCCTCATATTGCCAAAGAAAGAAACCCCCAAAGGCAAATAAGTCAAATATCTAAATGTTACTGCCTTAAGACAGGGCAAAAGATGCCTGGTTTCTCCCAATCATTTAACAAGGCCCTGAAGACCAGGTGGCCTAAAGCCAGTAAGTGAATGTCAAAGATGGAACCAAGATTATGTCTCCCTGATACAAAACGGCTGGAGAAGATAAGTATATGAACATCTCCAGGTGGCAGATATTTAGAACTAAGAAAACAAAACTCCTTTTCAACCTTGAGGAACAAGATTCCTGAAAAACCCAGTGGTAGAATTTACTACTGAGAAACTTACGATCTTATGGGAGAAGAAAAAAAAAAAAAGCAAACCAGGATTATGAGTCCCAATTGATGAAATTATATTCACTTGAAATAAAATTGGAAATAGAAAATATCTTAAATTAGTAATAATACTATACAATTAATTTTCATTTACCATTAGCAATGTCCATATACTTTTGGCCCCAGCAATTGTACTTCTAAAAATTCATCCTCCTCTAGAAACACCTGCACAAGTACACAAAGATGACAAGCACTGTCTGTCACGGAAACAATCCAGATTCTATCAACAAGGCACTGCTTAAACTAATTATAGTGCATTCAACTGCTGGAATACTATGCCACTCTCAAAAAGGATGCAACAGCTCTATATACACCAACACGGAAAAATGTCCATGACATATCAAGTGAAACATTTAAACGGCAAAACAGTAGATTTAGTATCATCCCATTTTTACAAATAAAGAAAAAACGTGTTTTTATTTACATAGAAAAAGAATTCTGGAGTTAACACAAATTGTTAACGAATTAGCACTGCAGAGAACATTCTTTCTGTATCACACATTTCTGTAATGTTTGAATTTTTACAAATGAATTTGTATTTGTTTTACAAGCAGAAAACAATAGCATCTCAAAATTTCCACTGATTATCTCTCGTTCACTATAGCTTTTTGAGGCTCTCCCTTTCTCAAAGCTTCAGTAACATGCCATTATGGTTGGGGGGGCAAGGCTTTGTTGCAGATAAGACTGCCTGCAAAGAGGCTTTCTTTATTTATTTAGCAACTTTTCATCCAAACATTTAAGGCCTTTCTAATTCTGACATAATCATAGACTCCCGCCTTCTGGTTTTCACCAGTCTCAAGACACAAATGAATCTAAAAGCGTGTGATGTTGCCTAACTTTAACTTACCCTATTTAGCAGAGCCTCTTCAGTCTATTCTCAATCACCAGCCACAGTGATCCTTTAAAAATATAAGATCATGCTACTCTGCTTCCCATGGCTTTCCAAACCACTCTAAGAGGTAAAATCCCTTAAATGGCTTAGAAGGCCCTGCATAATCCGATTGCCATCACCTCTCTACCGTCATCTTCTCTCATGCCATCCTTTGCTGTGCTCCAGCCAAGCGTCTCAGGGATTTTGCATTTGCCCTTCTCTCTTCTAGAATGCCCTTGCCCCCATTGTTTACAGAGTT